AAGAAGGGCTCCAGGGATATCTAGATATAGCATATCAGATTTGGATTCTATGAGCTGCTCTAAACCTGATAATACAAGTAGGAAAGTTTATTTCTACTTCTCTGCTCTTGCAGATCATCAAAACACAAAAGAAAAATGATGACCTATGATTTGGTACTGGTTTCTCCTAATAATTCGCTATGTGACCTTAGACAAGTCAATCTTCTTCTCTGCATCTTATATCCTTCTTTGTAATAGCACAACCTTACATTTGGTGGTCCATTTATAAAATCTCTTCTATGCCTGACATGTAGCAATTTCCCCTCTACTCAAAGGGTGTTTCTTAGATCACAGCATCAGCATCCCCTAGGAGCTTTCTATAAATGCAATGCAGACTCAGACCTACAGAATCAAAATCTACACTTTAAGATCTAATGTAATTCTGCATGCTGAAGTTTGAGTAACACTATTTTACAGCTTCTCCGAAAGATCTGGGCCAACCTGGAACATGACATCTTCTGCAAGAAGCTGGAAGAAGAATGAATTTGTCCCACAACTCTACTGAATCTGATTAAAGCAGCTGGCCAGTGGTAAGGTCTGGGGAGAAATGCTGCAAGATCTTTCCAAACTCAGCTGCAATCGGTAGAGTGTTTCTCAAGGACTGAGAGTCTCTCAATTTGAAATCTTTAGATAAAATGACTTTAAAAATACTAATTATGCAAGGAAGTCTAACCATGAACCAAGCATTAGTGAATCCAGAGCTCCTTCTGTCCTGGCATACTGCCAACAGGCACTGAACAGAGCTCTAAAATCAGCAAAGAGGTCACCTCTGAAACCACAACATTTCTCCCCATAGCACTGGTCTCCTGACTGGCCCTCCTGAACCAGAATTTCATTCTCAGTTAGAATTCCACAAACAAGAATGCATTTAAAGGAATACTGCCTGGACCTGTTCCTGGACCACCAGGAAGAGGTGGAGAAGGCCAAAAGCTCTGGGGTGATAGACCCACAAAGAGCCAGTCCCGTGGAGCAGAAAGGGATGTAGGGAAGAAGTGGCACAAACAAAACTAATGAAGGAGACCCTACTTCCAAATCCAAGAGAAGATCAGTTTCTGGCTTATTAATCGTCCAGCTAAGAAAGTCTCACTCAGCCAATGAGATATTGAGACAAGCCAAGAAAGCATCCTAAGCAGTGGGTTGTAGTCCTGGCTCTAGCTAATGTGGTATGCAACCTGGGTGGGTGCCCTCCCTCATCCCCTCATCTAGACAGCAGGGGAAGATATCACTTTCTTCTATTACTACTAATCCTGAAATGAAATTCTATTTCATGGTGTAGAATTATTCATCTTTATTCACATGGCCACATCACCCACTGTTGGGTTAAACATCAATCAGTAACTAGAAAAGTTTACAGTGAGATAAGAAGATCTCTAAAAGAATATGGTAATGAGGCAAATGGAGAAGCAGAGATAGCCACTCCCCTTATCTTCAGTCCCTGGGAGAGGATCTTCAGAGAGTGACCTTCATTGTAAAGTAAAGGAATGTACTCAGAGAACATCTAAAGAAAGTTACTAACACATAGGTTCTGCTTACCTATTTCAGGTGCTGCAATGTTTTGTGCTACTCTTCCCAGAATTTTCAAGTCAAAAATTTATTCTTTAGAAATAGGATACTGTTTATATTTTTTGTTATTAAACACAATGTGAAAGTACCTAGTACATAGTCATTGTTTAACATTTGTTGAAGCTCAATCTATAGAATTCTATTTCTCTATGTCATGAAATAGGAATTTTGCAAATAGTGGGTACCACCCACTTTTGGGACTATAAAATCACTTAAGTAAGGCAAGCTGACTTTGGTGGAATAGCCTCTATTTTTCGCCCACTTATATAACTCTGCATTGTCAAAGCGCACCAATAACTGGTGCTGTCATCTCTCATGCCCCCAAGAAAAAACTCCTTGGGGGCTCTTTCTACATTTATTTTCAATTGTCAGATCCCTAGAGGAAAAAATCAAATCACTGACGCTATTTCAAACTTCATGCTCAAGGCAGCCTCTAAGAGGATAATAGGGCAGCTCTGCTTTTGCTCTCTTTGAGGCAGGAAGACACCCCATGGCTGTGAAGGCAGGCAGGACATGTGTGTGGAGTTCAAAATATAGCAAGGAAACCCAAAACAACAGAAAGACAAGAGAAGCCGGAGGATAAAGCTGTTTGGAATTATGAATCATTCCAAGATAACTTATGTTATTATGTAAGAAGTGAAATGAGCTTTCAGGCATTGCCATTGATTCATTGTTTCAGCCATTCATGCATTCATTCAGCATTCACTGGGAACCCATTAAATGTCAGGCACTGTGCTAGGCAGGCGGGCAGCATAAGATAGATTTCAAGAAGCAGAACATCAGCCTGCAAATTCTCACTGTGTTCCTGCTATACTGGCCTTCCTTTGGGTCTCTTTGTGCAAGGTTCTTTCATACTGACTCTATTTAAATGTTTCTTCCACCAGTTCTTGCCTAACTTGCACCCCCACTTGACCCAGGACTAAATTAGGCTTACCTAATATGTATCCCCTCTGAAGTCCACCTCCTTTCCTCTCCCTCCCTTTATCTTCCCCCCAGCCCACCCATTAGAGACTGAAACAGTGGTAGTGCCCTACCAGTGCCCATTTATTTTTAATTTTGAATCAAGGTCTCACTAAATTACCCAGGCTGGGCTCAAACTTGTGACCCTCCAGCCTCAGTCTCCCAAGTAACAGGATAATAGGTGTGCATCACAAGGTCTGGCCCATCACTTCTCCTTTTTAACACAGCACGCTCATCATTATTTTGTCTTCTCTAATAGATAGTAAGATCCATTTGGATAGGAACTGCCTCTCCAACGACTAGCATAATTAGAATATTTTAGGGTTCAATAAATATTCTGAAAAAGAATAAACTGGGGTATATGGGGCAAAGTATAGGCCCTGAGTAGTATAGTGAAGTAAGTGTGGGTTTTAGAGTTCAACAAATTCAAATATGAACCTTACCTAGCTTCACCATTCATTAGCTATATCATCTTAAGCAAGTCCCATGATCTCCGTGAACTTCAGTTTGCTCATCTGTAAAACAGATAATACTTCCTAGAGATGCAATAAAGATTAAATAGTATGATGAAGGTAAGGTCATGGGTACAGAGTATAAGCTCAACAAATGTTACCCACAAGTCCCTACCACATCTCCCAGCTCTTCCTTCCATAGTTAAGAAAGAGTTGATAACAGTAAGATAGGCCCAATCCTTTAGGAACATATCAAGACAGAATTCAGACATAAGTTAACAACACAGGAACTTGGACAGGATATGACAGGAACAACAGCCTAGATGAGATCTTATTAACCAGACAGGCTGTGACCTTGAGCTCTCTCAATCTGCCTGACCAAGGTACAGGGCCAAGACTGGATCTGCAGATGGAATCAAACAGCTCTAATCATGGGTGATGATGGCAGACTATGCCCACTCTTTATGCCAGAAAATAGCCTTTGAAGAATATAGACAAAAGCTTACAAAAATATCATCCCCAACTTTGCACGTCCAAAGGTCACTCAGAGGAATTTAAAGGTCTACAAATAGGCTAAGACCAATGAGGGGAAAGGTAGCACAGTGCTATGGGAGCAGCACTAAACCCAGAACCATGGAGCAGAGCTCAAATCCAAACATCCACCTACTAGACACGTGATTTGGGGCAGGTCCTTTCCTTATCTAGGTCTCATTTCATCACTTGTACACCGAGGATCCATTCAGGATGATGTCTAGAGGCCCTTGAAGTGCTACAGATTTGAGATTTTAGATGCTGTCATCATGGCAAAGAAAGAACTCCTCAATCACACACAACACTGAGCTGATGTTCTGCTGTGCTGCTCTCAATCACACAAAAGGTAAATGGTCATAAGGAAGAGTTAATACAGTATTTCCTGAGACTGCTTAGCTCGTGATTCAGCACTGCACCTGTTCCTTCTGCATTTGCAGTTTACTACATAATATCATCACCGGGACTCCCTGAAACAGCTACTATTTGTCACTTGCTTAGTATTTCAGGTATCTGTCTTGTTTCCTTTCTTTTTAAAAAAAGATTAGCTAGAATATTATAAAGACTAATCAATAAAATTGCTATATAAAATTTGCCCAGAAAACCACTTTCTCCTTTCTTTGTATCCACTGTTGTAAGAGCAATGCCTTCAATGACTAATCAGCACTAAAAATCAGATTATTACCAGAAGGGACATGGGGGGCAAAAATATTCTATTACTTCACAAACAAGTAAGGTCACACAGGGTAATGTAACTCATTCATAACCCAGAGCCTTTTTCTTATGGAAACCCTATAAACGATACTCAATAGTCCAGGCATACAATACTAACTACCCCTACCTAAATACATACCAGTGTTCACTAGGTATCATTTAATAGATTCTAGCCATTTCTTAAGGCTGGAAAAACAGAATAACAAAACACAATCACTACCCTTAAATAAAGTCTGACCCTAAAAGTCAAGTAGTCCCAGCTGTAAAATAAAAAGTGGCAGCCTAGAATCCAGTCCATATGCCAGAAAATGCCCTCTGCATAAGCCTAGACCAAAGAATGGACTACAAAACACCGTATGGTGTTTGTATCCATCTAAAGATAGTTTATTTCTATCATCTTTCATTTTTAATGGGGGCTTAAGCAAGACCGAAGAATGGACTACAAAACACCAGGTTTTGTCTGGGTACGTTTATCACTGCTATTATCCAGGAAGAGATACCAGACAAATGAACCTATTGACAACTTAATCTGAATGTTTCTTTAGCTGCTATATTAATAAAAGGTAATATAATACATTGTAAATATGTATTCAATAAAACAAGAGCTTTCAATCTCTTGATTATTATTGGATACCCAAATTCACACTGCCGAAGGCCACATAACTCTGGGGCTGTGGTTCTTAAAGTGTGGTCTAGACCATCAGTACCAACACAACCTGAAAACTTGTTAAAATTCAAATTCAAGTGCTCACTTTGGCAGTACATATACTAAAATTGGAATGATACAGACAAGATTAGCATGGCTCCTGCACAAAGATGACAAATTCGTGAAGTGTTCCATATTTTTTTTAAAAAATCAAATTCAAATTCACCCTGGACCCTAGTCAGAAACTAGGAGTAAGGCCCAGAACTCTGTATTTTAAACAAGGCCTCCAAATGATTCCAATGAATGCTTAAGTGTGAGAATCACTGCCTTAGAATGTCCAAACTGCTGCATGTTTGCAGTAAAATTAGTAGAAAACTAAGTTCTCTATTAAATCTCAGAAAAATAACAATACTGGGTAAAGAGTTGGGTTTAAAACGTATCTTAAATGTTGGTATTTTGGAAAAAACACGTTTACCAGAAACGGAAGGAAGAGAGGAATGCTGGTTCTGATGCAGCAAGGGATGTCTACACTTGTTCAGAAGCCTCTGAAGTGGAAGGCCCCAGGCCTTTCCCTGTGTGGCACTTCACTTCTAAATATAAGTCTTTTCTGTTCCTTCAGCTGAGCCCATCACTTCAGAGGGTGTCCCTACACATTTACTAGCAGTGACCTCAGACAGCAACAATAATTAAGGTCACTTTTTAATTTTCTTTCTTTTAGAAGGATGAAAAGCAAAAAGAAAAGGAGCTGTAAATGTTCCTGGGGTCACTAAATTTAAAGATGAAGGAAGAACTGGGCACAGTGGCACACACCTGTAAAAGCAGTGTCTTGGGAAGCTGAAGCAGGAGAATTGCAAGTTCAAAGCCTCAGAAACTTAGCAAGGCCTTAAGCAACTTAGCAAGACCCTATCTCAAAATAATAATTTTTAAAAGAGCTAGGGATGTGGCTCCGTGGTTAAGTGCCCCTGGTGTTTGATCCCTGGTGCATAAATAAATAAATAAGTGAATAAGTGAATAAATAAATAAAAAATGAAAATAAATAAGAAGGGAGAATCAACAGGAAGGTAAAGAAATAAATCTGTAGGTAGAGATGAGAAAGAGATTGCTTAAAGTAGGATTTACTGAGCTCTGAATTACAAAAGAAAACTGGAGGATCAGCCTTAGAAGAAAAGTAACAAAGAAATAGTAAGACCTTTTTTGGCCTCTACCACCAGGTGGCAAAATCAACCACACACAGCTAAGTTGCTGCCAGAAGCCACTGTTTATGTGTCTTTTCTTGTTTTGCTATTGCTTTGAGGTAGGAGTGGAGATGCAAAGCAGCTTCTAGTTAGGTGCTGTCGACAGAGACAAGGCAATGAGCAATGGATTGTTTTAAACATATTAATTCAGTCAGTGACCATAATTATGGAATATCATTACATTTTTAAATATATGAACTACCATGTAATACAAGTAACCACAATGACAAAGGCTATCCTGAATTACACATTAATCTTTTACTACAACTAAGTTTTAAAATAAATCATTTGATTTTGAAATATCTATTTTTCTTCAATGAAAGTCAATGTCAAGTTAGGTCTAATTTTATGGTTCAAACGCAATTTTCCTCCAGCACACTACAAAATGTTAAATACCAAGGAAGACAATAATAAAAAAAAAAAAAAGTCAGCTGTAATGTAACAGGAAATTTCCTGTAGAAATGATTTTGAGGTTCTACAGGTCACAAAGAAGAGATACACATGGTTAATCATAAATCCATCTAAAGATAGTCTATTTCTATCATCTTTCATTTTTAATGGGGGCTTAAGCAACTTTCTGGGATGGACGGTTGTAAATTTAATAATATTTCAATTCACTACTAGTTTCCATTGATTTTTCTTTCATTTTAATCTGTTTTGATAGATTAATGTTGTCTTGTGACTTCCAAATGGCAGGTTAAGGAAGAAAAATGATATGCATTGAGTTGTACTTCTACTAGAAAGAGTACTAACCTGGGAATCAAGACCTGTGTCCAAGGCTTGGTCATTCACTACTGCTTATCATTCCTAAGAAAGTCACTACATCTCTCTGGGACTCAGGTTCCTCCTATTTAAAATGAAACAACAATATTTGCCATAATTCACTAATTGTTGTGATAAGCAGATAAGAAAACAAGGAATACTTACTACTAGATAGTACCTAAATTCAAAACAACCAAATAAACCCATTACTAAAGAAAAATTCCAGTCAGCCCTCCGTATCTACAGGTTCTGCATACGGGGATTCAACCAACCGTGGATCAAAAATATTTAGGGAAAAAAAATGCATCTGTACTGAACATATAAAGACTTTTTTCTTGTCATTATTCCCTAAACAATATAGTACGACAACTATTTACACTGTATTAAGTATTACAAGTAATGTAGAAATTATTTAAAGTATATAGGAACTGGGCTTAGTGGCACACATCTATAATCCCAATGACTCGGGAGGCTGAGGCGAAGACTGCAAACTTAAGACTAGTATCATTAATTTAGGGAGTCCCTGTCGCAAAATGAAAACTAAAAGGGGCAAGGAATGTGGCTCAGTGATTAAGTGCCCCTGGGATCAATCTCCCATTACCAAAAGTAAAAATAAAGTATACAGGAGAATATGTGTAGATTATATGCAAATACTATACCATTTTATATAAGGGACTTGCATATGTAAATTTTGATATCCATGGAGGATTCTGGAACCAGTCCCCCATGGATACCAAGGGACAACTGTATTTTTAAAAGCTTTTTAAATTAGGCAAAGAAAATATGCTTCTTTAAGGATTACAAATATCAAAGTGCGCACTCAAGAAAATTAGAAACCAGACCTCAGTGTTGTTGGATCCTTAAATTTTGGATAATTGAAATAAGTTTCTTCGGATAAATTGAGTTTGAATAATTTCAAATGTTGCTACAGTTACCATAGCACCACACAGGACCAGTCAGTTGGGGCAATCAATAATAACCATCAACAAGTGTCTCTGCATTTTCTAGCATAACAGCCTCAAGAAAGTTTCTACTCAAAGTGGTACCTCTATGCTTTTACTTCTCTGAAAAAGAAAGTGCCAAAATGCTTAATAAATTAACAGGACCAAGTGAGTTTTCAGAATAAACCAAGTAATAAAAAAAAATACCAAGATTTGGGGTATTTTAAGTATTAATATCCTTAAACAAAAGGTTTTGTCTGGGTACATTTATCACTGCTATTATCCAGGAAGAGATACCAGACAAGTGAACCTATTGACAACTTAATCTGAATGTTTCTTTAGCTGCTATATTAATAAAAGGTAATATAATACATTGTAAATATGTATTCAATAAAACAAGAGCTTTCAATCTCTTGATTATTATTGGATACCCAAATTCAAACAAGCCAAACCATCCCTCAAACAACAATTCAGACCATGGAGCTATGCAAATATTAACTTAGCTTGCCTCCCAGCTGGCAACCCAGACAGAGTTCAATCTGGTTCCACATTCAGAAGAAAAAGAACTGCCAATGTCATTTAATTCACTGTCCTATTGAACTCCTTTATCTAACAACTGTCCTCCACCTAAGAACCACTGCTTAGATATTAGTTCTAATATTAACTTTAACTTGTATGTGATAGGATTAGTGATGGGGTGATGACTAGGAGAATCTTTATGTGAAACTTCATAAAGATCCCTTCATCCTCTGGCAATTCCAAAACAAAAAGATCTTTACATGCCTATATGACATTTATGCCCATGGGGGGGGGGGGGGAACTATAGACAAAAGTGTATTGAGGGACCTTAACCAAATGCATTCCTAATAAAAATACATTATCAAAAAGTTTATCCTAGACAGATGCAGTGGCTCACTCCTGTAATCCCAGTGGTTTAGGAGGCTGATGCAAGAGGATTGCCAAGTTCAAAGCCAGCCTCAGCCACTTGGCAAGGCCCTAAGCAACTTAGCGATTCGCTGTCTCAAAGAAAAAAACAAAACAGACTGGGAATGTGACTCAAAAAAAGAAAAAGAAAAAGGAAAAAAATTTATCCCCCCCCCCCTTTTTTTTTTTTTTTGAGAGAGAGAGAGAATTTTTTAATATTTATTTTTTTAGTTTTCAGCAGACACAACATCTTTGTTTGTATGTGGTGCTGAGGATCGAACCCGGGCCGCACGCATGGCAGGCGAGCGCGCTACCGCTTGAGCCACATCCCCAGCCCCAATCCCTTTTTTTTTTTTTTTTTAGATTATCTGAAAAAAGAAAACTTCATCTACCATCTGCCACCTAACACACACATCTTCTTTTTCATTAGTCAACATTTCCTTTAAATCCATATCTGAGCACAAACAGAATTTTACTCAAAGACATGATCTATACCTAATATTTATTTATTTTTATGCATTTTAATAAGTTATTATTGTGGTGCTAGGGATCAAACCCTGGACCTTGTACATGTTATGCATGAGCTCTACTACTGAACTACACCCTGAAACCCCACACTTAATTTAGAAAAAGCTTTCTGAAACTAACTTAAGTCCTATAGATCCCTAATGTTCCTTGGATGTGCCTCGGAAGCTACCACAAAGAAAGGACTTTCCAGCAAGCAGTAGTGGGAGTTCATTCTCCTTCCCTCAACTTTTCTATCCCCACTCCTGATTCAGTCAGAACAGTTACATTTTTATCTGTTTTGAATTTTGAGGTCCTGTGTAAAAAAACTTTATTTGAAAGTTAAACAACAAAAAAAAAAATGGTTCTATGCTTCTAGGTATTTAAAAACTAAGAATGTACAGAATCATGGAATTTTAGAGCTAGAAAGAAACTTAGAGCCAATATTTTTATTGTATGGATGTTGAGTAAGCTTAGACTTACTCAAGCTTTTATAGTAATTAGGAACTACATTTAGACCTTAGGTCTTCATCCCTAACACAAAGGCCCTATTCCTAATTCAGGAACTATTTATTTATTCATTCATTCATTCATCCATTCATTTAATATATATCAAATTCTACTATGTGCCAGGTACCACTTTGAGCGCTGAGGTTTTTAAAATCTTGCCATTATGGTGCTTACAGTTTAGTAGAAGAAGACGACAATAAATGAGTAAACAGTATATAAGAAGGTAATGAAATAAAGGATGGTGGTACAGGCATAAGGGTGAGAACATTACAGATTATAATTGGTGAATTTCCACAAAAATCACTGCTGTTAAGTCTTTATGTAC